GTCAAAACACAACTGTGTGACTGTCATACGCACTTTATCAGGACACGTTCAGATCGTTTTTTCATGGAACTTGTACGTTTTTATGAATTGTCTGAAGTCGTCAGTGATAATAGTCACTAAGAGAAACAACGTCTCACACTCAGACTCAGCGTAGTCGTGTGCACACGTTACCTCAGGACTTTCCTCTTGACGAAGCGCCTCAGCTGCGTGTCTGGACTGGATGTGTAGCTGTCTGTGAGTGGCCACTGGAGGGAGTCGTCATGCTCCGGCTCCCCCCGCAGGCTGCTGGGAGCACCGGGGGGCAGCTGGAGGTTCGCAGCCGGCGAGTGTTGGGCGTTCGGCTCGCAGTGGCCCCGCTGTCGTCCGTAGTCCGTGTTCTGACAGGTGGTCAGGACCTGCGGCAAACACACAGAATGAATGTCTATGTTTTCGTGTTTGTTCGTCCGATCTAAACACAAGGCTTCCCGAGAACGACCCGATGCAGTCAGGTGATGCAAACTAACTGGTGCGAGAGCTGAAGCAACTGTGGCAGAAACAAAAGAGCTGCTTTTATCTCTAACAGAAGCCGCTCAACGCAGGCGGAGCTCATCGCCGTAGTGACAGCAGTTGGGAAACAACAAAAGTGTAACCTAAACTCTAAGTTTACTGCCAGACTGACAGCGTCACTGCCTACTCTCTCTCTCTTATTTTGAAAATCAAAATGCAGAACTCAGCTTCCAGGCTTTTAACTAGAACCAAGTCCTCTGATCACATCCCTCCTGTTTTCACCTCTTTACACGGGCTCCCAGTATGTTTTAGCATTGATTTTGACATTTTACTGATTGATTTGACTCAGTGACCCCTTCTTAAAACATACTTTTACCGGAGAGCCTTTAAATCCTGATTTTACCGGAACTGTAATTATCTTTAATTTCCTTAATGTTTTTCTTGTTTTATCCAGTTTAAACCTCTTTAAATGTACGATTTTATAACTTGTGCTGTATAAATAAAGATTATTAGTGTTGTTGTTGTTGTTGTTTTCATCTCATCCGCACACTCACTACGCGTGCACAGTCGTCCCTTTGAGTTTTGGTAACAGGTTGGATTCAGAACTGTACTAAATTGAAACCCAACCTCTGCTTGTTCTCACTGTCGGCGTCGTTAACACTGACCTGTCTGCCAGGGTCCACTGGTCCAGCGTGTAAGCAAAACCCTTCACCAGCGTCTTCTAAGCAGCACTGACGAACTGAGGAAAAACACAGAACTCACCGGTTCACATACAACGCTGTGCTCCTGCTGTTATCATTATGATCCCACAGTGAAGTAAGGTTAAGGCCCTGACCTCTCTCTTTGGTGTAGGCAGGAGGACTCGGCTGAGATGCGGCTGCCTGAGATTTGTTGGAGTTCATCCGAGTTGGTGAGGCCAGGCTTTTCCACTCTCCGTGCTGGATCAGTTCGTCGAGATCTGACAATACAGACGAGGTCAAACACGGGAAGTCACCGAGTCCTGAGTCTTTTCTTCAGATGAAATCATTTAGTTAATCAAATCTGACATGGAGAAGTTGACCGGTATTCATTTTATCAGTGCACACCGTAAACATTTAGGGTCCCAAAGAAGCTTTGAATAAAGTGGAAACACAGTGATGAGAGAGAGTTGAGATGTTTCAGAGTCTAACCTCGCTTGAATTCACGCAGCCGGTGTTTTGGTATGTTTTTGTAACCGAGGGCGACCAGTTGTTCTTGAATTTCCTCTTCGGAGAAATCCAGGTTGTCCATAATATCTTCAGCTTCAAGTCGAGACGGTAATAAAAACCCTGAAGGGAAAAACACATCACAATATACAACAACAGAAAACAGGCTTTTTCTGAGCTTTTAGAGGCTTTTTTATTGAATAAGATGACAGGATATTAACAAAACCATCAATATATATTAATTTAAACGATTTTATATGGGAGTTTTTGAGTTTAGGCTCTTATTTTACATCTTTTAACATATTGATACCACCTTTGAAATAACTTCAGCATGTTTGGATTCAATTTAGCAACTTTAACACAAGTGGATTTCTCCAAAATCTGTCTTAAACTAATAGTAACTTTAGCACATGTCAGTAGAAGCTGACCCAGATGTGTAACCAGCGTTAGTAGTGATAAAAGACCGTAAATAAAATAAAGTTAAAGAGCGTTGTGAACCCCTTTCAGGCTCTTTAACCCGAATAAAACGCGTTATTTGGAGCTCTTATGTGAGCCGAATTCACCAGCAGACTATTTAAACTCAACGCCCAAAAGTTTAGTTTAACAGTTCAACTTTAATAGCGACTAATAAACAAAAACAACCATAAAGCGGCGGATTTGTGAACAGGGTTCCGCACATCTCCCCCAAAGAGAACGGAAGCGAGTTTATTGTTTACATTTAAAAACATGTAAACAAACAAACACCGCCCGCCGCTAACGGACGTTTAACGTGCACCGTGTCTCACCTGCACGAGGGCCCGGTTCCCTGTCGTCCCTCACGGTGACATCGCCCGTTAACGGTGTTGTCGGTAGTCGCGGTTTGTTGTTTACAAGACAACAACGGCCGTTAACGAGCTTTGAAAACGACGCCTCGCTCCACTTCCGGTCTTGTTCTTCTTCGCCGTTCCACTTAGCGGTTTGCCAACCGAGCGCTCTAGCGCCGCCCCTCGGCGGAGGAGCGACAGGAGCAGTTAGGTACTGACGAGCGGTGGTGGGAGAAGAATTCACATCGTTTATTTAGATAGATGGATATTCCTTTATTTGTCCCACTATGGGGAAATTCCAATGTTACAGCAGCAACAGTATAAATAAACAGTAAGTAGGGAAATAATACAAACACTATGTAGAAGAGAAAAAACAGTAAGATAAGATATTCCTTTATTTGTCCCACTATGGGGAATTTCCAATGTCACAGCAGCAACAGTATAAAAAACAGTAAGTAGGGAAATAATACTGTGCAATCTATTGCCCATG